GATGGATTTCTTCACACCTGAAATTAAGGCTCTTCAATCTAACAAGTCAATTTCTCCAAGCTCTGATATATTCAGCTTGGCACCGTTTCTTGATGAAAATAAAATTCTTCGAATTAAGGGAAGATTAGAAGAAACCGAATATACAGTTGACGAGAAGCATCCAGTTCTTCTTCCTAAAGATTCCAAATTTACTGAATTAATTGTAAAAAGGGAACATAATAACGTTCTGCATGCGGGAGTTGCAGCAACTTTAGCCAAACTAAGACAGAAATTTTGGATTCCTAAAGGCCGTCAGTTGGTAAAGAAAGTCTTAGGGAACTGTTTAATTTGTCGGAAATACGCAGTAAAACCAGCGAAACAAATGACAGCTCAGTTACCTAAAGATCGAATTGTTGAAACTCCACCTTTCTATGTTACAGGCGTGGATTTCACAGGTCCAGTTTACATCAGGTCTGGAAACGACATTCAGAAATCATACATCGTATTGTTTACGTGCGCTGTTACACGAGCGTTACATCTAGAACTCATTTCCAATATGTCTGCAAACAAATTCATTTTGGCTCTCAGACGTTTCATTTCGAGAAGAGGAAACTGTCGCACCTTTTATTCAGATAACGCGAAAACTTTCAAATATGCTGCCAAAGATTTACAGTATTTTTACAGCATAATTAAAGGTACAGACTTTCAAAATTTTCTAGCAAATGAAGGCTTGACTTGGAAATTTATCGTCGAGCTTGCTCCATGGTGGGGAGCTTTTTATGAACGCCTTATGAAAACCATAAAGGAACCATTTGAAAAAGATATTAGGCAGAGCTCAATTGAATTTTGAAGAATTTATGACTGTGTTGACAGAGGTCGAAAATATTGTGAATAGACGTCCTTTGACCTACGTTTACAACGATTTACATGAACCTGAACCGCTTGCACCGGCTGATTTTCTATTGATCGGACATAAGGATGAATATCCATACAACTTTGCTGAGATCCTGAATAACTCTCCAACAAGAAAGAGTCTAATAAAACGAAAAGAATATCAGACAACGCTTATAAAACAGTTCTGGAAAAAAATGGAAAAATCAGTATCTTCTTGAGTTGAGAAATGCTCACTTCTTCGGTACACCAGAAGCCAAGAAAAATCTTAAAATTGGTGATATAGTTTTACTTGAAGGAACAACTAAATCTAAGTTCCTCTGGGATTTAGGTCGAGTAATTCAAGTCTTCAAAGGACGTGATGGTCTTGTACGATCATGTGTGGTAAAAACTAAAAAAGGGGACCTTAAGAGACCTGTACAATTGATATACCCCCTTGAACTATCAGACTGAAAATGAACTAAATTTGTAACCTTTTAATTTTACTTCTTGTATTTCATATTCACTAACATTAATTTTAGATAATTAGTTTAGTTATTACTAATAATTTACTGTTTGTAATTTGAATTAATATTTACGTATTGAGTAACATTTGAGTTGATGCAGTTAACTATATTTGTTTATTTTATAGAATTTCCTTTTGCAGTTTATATTTACATCAGTTGAATGTATTTGATATGTAAGTTGCTTTCTTATATTTTATTATTTGTATGCTGAAATAGTGATAATTTTTGCAGAAATTATCAGGTGGGGAGTGTGGAAAAATCGCCCAAATGATTTATGTATCGCCGTTAGAGGGCGCTTCGCTTCTGAAAAGGAATGTTAGTTTTTAGTTTGCGACGTAGTTAGTTAGCAGTGAACCTTCGATGCAACGAAAGTTGCTTTGTAAATAAAATGATTATTTTTGTAGATTGTTGAAGTATTTCACTTCATTTAGAATTAGAACCACCTTTCGCAATACAGGGTGTGAAGATTAAAGGAATTCTACCGTATGTTAACCACTATATATTTTTGGTATTCAGTTTCGTTTTTGGATAAATCATCTGAAATATATTTAAATTGTTGGTAGCATTTAACACTGGCACAGCCGCACATATAAAAGCGACAAAAAAGTGTGTTTTCCCCCCCTCTAATAGTATTAATTTCTTTTGAATTTCAACATTTAATTAGTAATTTTTAACATACACGGAAACTTGATACTTGTACTATTTGAATCCATTGCATAAGACTGGTACTGGTATGCATAAAAATAAATTCAGTTTAAAGTCAAAACATTGCATAAAACTTAATTTGTCAGAAAGATATCTTTAAAGAATGTAATAAACTATAGTACACTGGTTATCATGAATTAAAAATCACGATTACTGAAAAAGTTACATGTAGAATTTTATGAAACTTACCCAAAATATGCAACACATAGTAAGGTATCAAATAACATAAAAATAAATTACCAGACAATTATGGTAGTACAAAAATTAGCACATGTATAAAATGAACAAATCGAAGGTGTCAGTTTGCTATAAAAGTACCTTCAATATGGAATATGATCGCTTCTAGAAGCAATACAGCACATACAGTGATGCGTGATAATTTCAATTATGCGGTCTATCAGTTCCATAGGAAGCGAGAGCCATTGCTCTTGCAAAGCTGTTGCAAGCGCGGCAAGGGTCTGAGGGGGCAGCCTGAGAGCAGCTAGACGTCTCTCTAAATCATCTCAAACGTGCTCGATAGGATTCAAGTCCGTTGATTTAGCTGGCCACTCAATGCGCATAATTGTTTCCTGTTGAAGATAATCGTCTACGATGCGAGCCCTGTGGAGTCTTGAGTTATCGTCCTGTAACAGGAAAGCATCACCTATTGCCCCGGCACATGGGCGCACATAAGCATCAAGGATGTCATCTCTATAAACCGAATCATTCACGGTTTCCGTTAGAAAGACATGGAGGTCTGTGCGTCCATCCAAAGTGATGCCACCCCAGACACAGACACTGCCTCTTCCGCATGCATCTCTTTAACGGATGTTTGACGGATGATAACGGGTTCCAGGTTCTTTCCATATCAAATAACGCCTACTATGGCTTTCTAGACTAAACCTGGACTCATCCGTAAAGAGAACAGCCTTCCACTGATCAAGCGTCCAGTGGACATGTTGTGCCTACTGGAAACGGTCCCTTTTATGGCGTGACGTGAGCAGCACGCAAATGGCTGGTCGTCTCGCATACAGACCATTTCGTGAAGCCTTCTACGCACAGTTGACCTTCCGGTGGCTGTAGCAAGGAAGAATCTAAGAAGATTCGGAGTAGCGGTTCTATTCCTGCGTGCACATAATGTCAAATATCGGTCATCGGCGCTCGTCGTAGCAGTTGGCCGTCTTGGCTGAACCTCCTAGAGGCCGAATCTGTGGTTTGAAATCGCCTCCAAAGTCTATGAACCACAGAACGACTCACATTTAGCCATCGAGCCACTTCTGTTTGACTTTAGCCTGCCTCTAGTCTCCCAATGGCTCTCCATCGTAGTTCTGCAGGCAAATGATGCCTGGAGGTCATTGTTACGAATTGGCTACCTCAAATTTCTGATGTCACTATCACAATGAAATATGTGGGCTTGCTCTCAAACATGGACTTTTTCTCTCCTCGCAGATGATGTATTCCGAGTGCAGCGCCACTAATTTGCATGTTGCAGTTTTACTCAGCTACTCTTACTTGGCAACATATTCAAATTTTACACGGTTTGGCTTATTTTTGAGGGAGTTATCGCTATTTTTGTGATTTTCCCTTAATTTATGATAATCAGTGTATATGAATAACTTGATCATTTTTATCTTGTGTCATTTGTATCCATTGTATAAGGACTGGTACTGATAAAAAGAAATTCAGCACAAAATCAAAAAATTCATTAAACATAGTTTGAGAGGAAGGTATCGTAAAAAAAATATAGTAAGCAACTGTATATGAAGAACAGAAAATTTTCTTTGTAGTGTGAACGCTAAACAATAATACTGCTGTATGAGAAAATAAACAATAGAATTTGAAAGGAGTTCAATAAAATTCTTACTTTCAAATATCTGAAAACGAATAGTAGATGGATTTATACATAAAAAGACTTTTTTACTGTATTTGTGAAAAGGTTTCTAAGTTTCTAGTTTACAGTTATTTGTTTGCTCTTGAAGAAGTAAAAGATTTGGTACTTACATATTAGCGCAAAAAATTTCGCGCAGTTTGATGTCTGAAAACATTTTTTCAGAAAATAAATAAATGAGAAGAATGATGAATTATAATTGCAAAAAATTATTTGTTACTTACAGATTTTGCCTTTTAATTAGGTATTTATTTCAAAAATCAATCAATAGACCTATATGTAATGTATATGTAAGGCGTTTTTGGGGGGGATTTCACGGGGTGATCAGATTAAAAGCAAATATTCACTTTAGCAATTTTGGGGTAAAATATTACATTCCTGTAGAAATTTTACCGCCATTACTGCCACTGCAGACAAATTGATAAGCATTTATTTAAAACAGAGTGTAAGAGAAAAAATTTCACGATTTAATTATAAAAAAAAAAATTGAATCTTGAGGCATAATAAAAAGAATGCAGCTGAAATTGGGTATGCTGCTTGCTAAAACTAGAGATTTGTAAGCATATGGTTGCCTAAAGAATTCTTATGCGCGCGATTTCCAAAATTTGACGCACTTTGAAAATTTAGCGGCTTTTACTTAGGTGGTTGAACCAATATATAAGTGCCAAAGGTTTTTCTGAACCAATGCATGTGAAACATTTTTGTATGATAAAGAGATTTTGTCTCAAGCATTTATTAAAATTAGTTCTAAATTTTCATTAAATTTCACCATACATATGAACATGATTTTTGGTATTGTGTAGAAGTTAGTCTACTTTTCTTCTTATGAAGAGGGATGTGATATTTTCTTTTATTGAGCATTTGTTTTTGCCAGACTGTTTGCTGATTTAATTAATGCTGTTGTATTTAAGCAGTTTTGACAGATGTTTAATAAAGCATAAAGTATGACATCATCTATGTACATAGTTCAGTAAAAAAGATGCAATAAGGAAAATGTTTGGTTTCCTTGGCTGAGAAAAAGTATGTGAAAGCATTATGTTTATTTATTTCAGGAAAAGAATCCAACGCCACCACCTGATTCTCCGGTAGTGTAGACAATTTCTGTCTCTTCCTTTTCGCACCAGTCGTATTTTTATTACATATTTTCACATTCTACATTTTTTTCTTTCATAGTTTTTTTTTAAATTTTATTTTGCTTCATTGGCCAGTACCTTTTCACTTTTTGAAAAATTTCAGATTTAGTTTCTAGATGCTTTAAAACAGTAATAAAGACTATAGAACGGAATTTTTTTAATTGCTTGTATTTCACATTTAAAAGCCAAAAAACGTTTAGCAGGTATATTTGCCTCATTTATAAGCAGATCTAGTCTGCATGTGATTTTTAATTATTCAAGCAGGGAAAAAAAAGCTATGCTTTCGATGATTTGTCAAATTAGCTGAGAAAGCATGAAATATAGAAATGAATACAGCATGTAATATAATTTTTTGAAAACATTTTATCAAAACTTTTACCTCAGTATGTAGTTTTTTTTCCTCGTCAGTGAAGCAACACTTCTGCATGATCCTTTTTAGTAATTTAAAAAACGTATTAGCATGTAGAATGCTCTTTTAATTAAAACTTAATTCTTAAACACTGAATTTTATGACATACAGTAGTTACATTGCATGCTTTTTAGGGTAATATTGTTTTCAAAAATTTATTCTTAATATTTTTATTCTTTGTAGGAATGTTATCATTATGCAGTAGTCTTTTGATAACTATATGGCTTTAATAAATCTATTAAAAATTTTATTTTTCAAATATATAGCATCAAAATAAAATTGCATTTCTCTTTTAATTGGAACAAAGTTTGATACAAATTTAGATACTTACGTCCATGTAAAATGTCCAACAAAAAGTGTTTCCTGTATCCAAAAACTGATGTTTATGACCAAGCTGCCCCCTTAATATATATAAAAAAAATATTTTTCAGCCAACAGCATTAATTCTTTTTATTTATTTGACTGAGAATTGTTCATTTTAGCACTCACTGTAAATTATTTATTTTATCCCATCACTGACAGTTTTAAAAAGAAACTAGCACAATTAGAACAAGATCTGAGCACTAGTCCTTGTCATACAGAATTTTCTTTTCTCTTCAACTAAATCTTCTAAACATGAATAAAAATTTTACCTCTTAATCAACTTATTTTTGACAAACAAAAATATTTGAATTTAAAATTGGAATTTCATGAATTCCCACATGCATTCCATCAAATCAAGTTAAAGTAAGATTTTAATTATCATAATTTTATCACACGTAATTTCGGTTCTGCAACTTATGATTTTAATTGATAATGATACAAATGAATAATAAATCGGTCCTAAAAATATATGGAATGGAAGGTAGCATCAGCAAGCACCCTAAAGTTGTCCTTGCGCGATCATTTATTAATTACTTTTAATATTTTTGTTATAAAATTTAGAAAGTGCGATATTCATAGTACGTAAAAGTGTCTCTTCTATTAATTATTTCATTTTCAATTTATTATTCAGTTGTCATGAAACTGAAAATTATACTTCTATCTATTCAGTTTCTTTTGATGCCATTGAATATATGTTTTTTATATTTTAGGCTAAGTTTTCTTCTAATTAGGACATATCTAAACCAGACTTTTAGCAATAAATTACTGTGAAATTAATTTAAGTGCTACATAATATTAATAGAGGATAAAAGTGATCGTTAATTATTTAGTAAAATGCACAGTACGATAAGCTTTAGAAACAAAGAATGTTGCATTCATATCCAGTTCTTAATGATAAATTTGATTTATTCTTTACACAGTGTTGGTGAAATTAAAAATCATTCCTGATTTTTATTATATAATAAACAAAAAGAATGCTTTTAAATCTGTTATAAATTAATTACAAATTTTTGAAAACAATATTTACAACTGTTATGCAAACTAAATCTTAGCTAGATTATGACATCAATTTTTTGATGTGGAAGTGAGCGGAATTTTCAGACAGAAATTAATTTTGTAAACCATAATTCAAACTACAGTGCAAATATTTACTGTATGTTATTACTGTGATAGTAAAAGCACAAGACCCTTTTTTTTAATTCATAAAAAAATTTCCTTTATCTTACTCTTTATATTGAGAAACGAAATACAAAATTTTAAAAAAATTAGCCAATCCAACAGCTGACGAACTGTTCCTTGGTAGTTGTATAAGCTTAAATATCCTTACAATCATATGAATGACAAGAGACTACTGCATTTATTTGAAAATCTTTTCATATTCTCTTCTTATAAAACTGATAGTTGTACAAAATATGAATAAAAGTATTTATACAACAATAAAATCTTTTGCTGATTTCTAAATAAAGAGAGATGTGTTATAATAAGAGTTACAGGAACTAATTTCACTCAGTTTCGTTTGCATGGGATTTTGATGCATGCTGTCTTGTAACAATAGATTTCTTTCTCCTTTCGGAATGTAAGAATCAGTGTTTTGAATGATTACTATGTTACATGTGCTCAGCGACCTTCGTTTCTATGTCGTCTGATGGGAGTTGTGCGTAACTCTAATTCACGGAATAGTCATGTCATCTGTAATGGGGAAGATTATTACGATGAAGATAAGAGCCAATATTCACGTTCACCAAGAGGCTCGATATTGCAGTCACACCACAGGTAATTATATCCTTTTTTTTTAAACAAACTGCAAATATAAACAGAGAAATGTATCTTAATATACTAGTTTTAACATTGTAAACTGGATACTGGGAATCAGCATCATTAGAGTGACTTGATTCAGTTACATAGCTAGAATAAAAACGTGCCTGAAAATTAAGTGAATCTTAAGTTCTACACTTAAAACAAAAAATTGTACGAAACATTTGTTTCAACTTAAGAAATGATGTACTGTATTTCCTCGCGTATTTTCCTTTGACAGTTTTGAATTAATTTTATCATCCGAAAAAGGAGAGGAAGAAATTATGGGAGTAATTTAATTTCGAAGAACATGGTTTCAGTTAGAACATAACAAATAAAATGTAGTCATGGGTAAACGACAGGTAACTATCACAATATTATTTCTTTAAAAGCAACCTCCAATAAGATTACATATTACTATTACTATATCTGATGGATATTGAGCCGATATCTAATGACAACGATAACTGACACAACGCGGCGTGTCCGACTCAATTACCCTCTAAAGCCACAGGAACACTTCACATGAATGAGTCTTGATCGCTATTCTCAAGAAGCACCCGAGGAAAAGGAGAAAGGGGCGAACTAAAGACTCGAATTTCAAAAATTCGAACACATCAACGGACCTTACAAGAGGTAGACTAACCCAGTGGGCGGGGCGCGCGTCACCGGCAAGAAAGAGTAAGGACGATCTGGTTTACTTTAACACTGAAACCTACGTCGTTTGTATCACATAACTCTTTTTAATTATTAAATGTAATACGGCTTATAGTTATGAGATTATGAAAGCCACAGTTTTTTCCAAATAGGATTTAATATATCTCATTAAAGCACTTTTTACTGCATTTCGCGCATTTTTTTCACGCGCAATTCTTGTATAAACATTTACTTTGGTAAAACGGTAAAAACTCTAGGCACAAAATTTATGAACTTAATTTTTCGTACAAATAACGTAAAATGAAATAAGATTGATAGTACGTGATGCTTTGAAATAAATAAGGTAAAATTAAACAAGATCTGATAACTTTTTTTTGAAAATTTAATGACCATTTTCAGGCAGTGATTTTCAAAACTATAATAACATTACAAAACAATAATTTATTTGATTATATCATCATTAACTTATTAATATTAAAGTGGAATATTTATTTTAGTAATTTATAAAATTCGGAGCATAAAATTTTCTGAGTGTAATGAAGGGGGGAAAAAAGGTAAAATAAAACCTAGAAGCACTCAGATTTTATATTACGCCCAAAAGGAACTTTTTTTTTAACGTTTTATGTGTTACCTATATTTATTGAATATCATGTTCTTCGCCCGTACATTTGAAAACAGTATATCTTTAGAATTCCCCACTGGAGTTAAAACTGTTATTTTTCGTACAGTGCTCTCTCTGAACTCGTTGAGTTTGTTAGTCAAAAAGTTCGTTAAAGTTTTACAAAATATGAAATAGATTAAAACAAATTCGAAATTCAGCCGTCCAGATGCCCATGTTCGGGTGGAGGATTACAATATTCAAAAATTTTAATGGCTCTAGATACTGTCGTTTTTGTCACAGTGCGAGAAACATATATGCATTCATGCATATTTAATTTCTTTAAATATGCATGAATACATATATGTTTCTCGCACTGTGACATTATTAATTTCTTTCTTCATTATTTAATTTCTTTAAATATAATACAGGGCGATAATATTTGGTAACAACAATTTGTAAGGAGACACGGTCATTTATAGTAAAACAGCGCAAAATGCCGCTTCGAAACTAACAGCCTTTCTAGGCTACCGCCCCTTTGGGCTAATAAATTAAATTAACAGTAAATAAAAAAAATCTTATGCAGAACTAAAAATAAATTAAAAAAAATAATCACTATAAAATACAAGCAAAATTAATTATTACGGTTAAATACAATTTTAATATTAGAATTAAATGTATAAAAATTTTTAAGGAGTCAAAAGTGTTTATCACTATGATGTATTATGAAATATAATTGAAATGAAATTCTTTTATAGAAATTGTGCTATAATACTCATCTGTAATTTTAAAAAAGCAGCACAATTTAGACTTTTAAACAAAACTTTCAAAAATTCGGTTTTAAATATTTTAGTATTTTTTATATATATACACCAATAAAAAGCATAAAATTGCAAGAGAAAATTGCTTGTTTTGAAATTTTCTATTAGTTCATTTCAGATTTAAAATATTATTTTCTAAAAGAAGTAGTTACAAACTTCCTTACAGCATAGGAAAAGCTAAAAAAATATCCAGCCCTGAAAGCATGCAATAGCTTTTATAATTATTTGGAACGTTAATTATGCTTGATAAATATGCTAAATTTTTAAAAATAAATCTCAATTTCAAAAATAAAAATATGGAGAAATTCTAATTTGTGAAATGAGGCGCTACAAACAGCTTTTTCTTGACAATTATACACGTTGCAACAGGCAACCATTGCTAAATTTCTGCAAGTCGTCCCTACTCCTTCAGGTGTGATCAAGGTGACAGCCGGGAACGCCTCAGACGAGGGAGAAAATCTGTTTGGGTTAGTCTGTTTCTTATAAGGTCCATGGTCCGACTCAGTTACCTCTAAAGCCGCAGGAGCACTTCACATGAATGAGTCTTGATCGCTATTCTCAAGAAGCACCCGAGGAAAAGGAGAAAGGGGCGAACTAAAGACTCGAATTTCAAAAACTCGAACACATCAACGATAGATAAGGCTGCAACGACAGGAACTTAAATAATAGAAGTAAGGGGAAATCACATGTTTTCTAATATGTTAGAACACCTGCCAAGTCCGAGTAGCTTAACAAAAAATCTGCACAAAATACATTTAAAATAACAAGTGCAAGAGAAAACAAAATGGATGGAATGAGAATAAAAATTGAATACACTGAATAAAAATAAAAAATAATCAAGGAAATATAATTTACGAAATAAACTAGCTCTCAGAGGGAAAAATTATGCGAACATTTTTTTAATTTTCAGAATCTAGCGCTAAAAAGCTGGGGAGGGGGAATACGCGAGAAAGTACGATGTTAAAGAACTATAACATCTTAAAGTTTTAGACCCTTGTCTATAAACTGTCATAAATGGTCTGTACTTCTACTGAAATATGTTATTAAATTAAAGTTAATTTTGAACTTAAATTAATTGTAGTTTGGCATATGCATTGATTCTTAATTGTCAAAATGATTTAAAATTATGAAATATTTATTTGCAGCTAACTTTTAATTTGAAAGAAGAAAAATGATTACTAGCTTTATCCCTCTTTTATTCGAAAATCATATTTTTTTATTTGAATCTTAATTACGCACATTTCTTTTACCTGGAGAAAAAGATATATTTTTATAAGTTTACGTCCTTATATACGTGTTTACGTCCTGAAAGTTCTTGTGATTGTAATTAGTATTACTGTTATAATTATTTTCAGTAAACATAATATCATGTTAATGTTCTTAAAATGGGTACCATTTTCCTGTAATAAGAAATATAGAATTGTGAATGTTTAATAATTATAACCGAAAATTAAAAACATTCCAAGATTTATGTAGTTCTAACGACAAAAAATTATGTTATCAGCTTGTCTTTAATTTCTTAAGTTATTATATTTTATTGCTTAAGTTATTGTGCCCATATGTGTTTTTGTTTGAGATGCCTCTTCTTTCAATAATAAATTCTTTTATTTATTGTAAAAAATATGCACATATTCTTATACAGGAAGAAAGGAGGAAGCAAAAAGCACGCATTCTTCGGAGCTCATTCTCGCTATTTAGTTTATTTTGAGTTTTTTCTAAGTCTCTATAATCCTTGTTTATTTACTTGTTTATCCTTGTTTATTAACTCTCAAAATTTTAGCTGCTCTATTTTAATTAAATTTGATATATATTTATTAATATCTCTTTTTTATTAAACTTATTTGATTCTTTCTTTCATATTTCGAAATTTAGGTTCATTCCGAATAAAATTTGTCTATTTTTGATGATTTTTAAAATCTGTATTTTAAAATCATTTTAATAAATTTTTCGAAAAACATTTTGAATTATAACCTATAAAAGTTTTGTCATCCTCTTAAAGTAGATGTATTTCTAAACATACTGCAAAAAAATTACAGTTTTTTATTCTAAATTTCTGAAGATATACGTGAATTATTAATTGGCGCGTTTTGAAATTTGGCATATTTGTTGAAAGCGATAAAACATCAAATGTGGTTTAGTCGCTTTGTTAAAATTATTTGAAAGTAGGAACGATGCGACTTTTTCCGCTCATGGACAATACAAAAAGGTAGGAAAGAGCTCCCCTTTTTTCCGCTCCGGCATAATGGAAGGGAAAGGAAAATAGGTTGCCATATATTAAGAAGTTCGCCAAGTGAGTTTTTTTGGGCGCAAACTGAAAAAAATTGCGCCAAGATAAATTTTTTAATTTCTCCCTAAATTTTGCACCAAATTTTACAAAATTTAATATCTAGGCATAATTTGTCTCGTAGAATCGAAATATGGAAAAAAAGTTAGTATGTTATTTCAGAAAAAGTCAGATTTTATGTCAAAATACCTCTGTTAGAACAGTGCTATATATAAATCTAATATATATCCTAAGTCGCGCTTTCGAGACATGAAAAACACAATTTGAATTTTGTCAATCGGCCAAGTAGAATGAGAGATATGGAACTGTTCCTTTTTTTTTTTTCCTCCGCGGTGCACATACAAGAGAACATAAACACGTGCTATCCAATTAGATGCGAAAGCAGAATTTTTTAAGAGAAGAATATGCGACTAAAGAGATCACGTACGTTTTCCGATGGTGCCCTGTTCCTCACACATGTGCGATATATAAATTCAAGTGTCTGAGTATATGCTTAGGATAAGGATTTCGGTAGTAATGATGAAGGCTGCTTGTGTTTTTGTTTGCTTATATATATTTTGTATTTTCCTTCCTTTCTAAACTAAAAGCATTAACTAAGAGATTAGTTTATTACTGACTTGCCAAGAACAATTATTGATACTATTTTCTATGTATTTCTAAACATACTGCAAAAAATTGGAAGTTTTTATTGAAAATTTCCTAAGATATACGTGAATTTACATTTTAGCGGGTTTTGAAATTTGGCGTATTTATTATAAGCGATAATAACGAAAATCTGGTTTATGCACTTTACTTTATTAAAATTATTTGAAAGTAAGAATAATGTGACTTACCCCCCCCCCCCCCCCGCTCGTGACAATGAAGAAAAAGGAAAGGAAAAGTAGGTTTCTATAAATTAAGAAGTTCGCCAAATGAACTATTATTGGCGCAAACTGAAAAAAATTGCCAAGATAAATTTTTATAAAAAAAAATTGGTGTGTTATTTCAGAAAAAGTCCGATTTTGAGTCAAAGTACCTATATTAGAACACAGCTATATATAAATCTAATATATATCCTAAGTCGCGCTTTCGAGACACAGAAAACACAAGTTGAATTTCGTCAATCAGCCCAGTAGAACGAAAGATATAAAACTGTCCCCTGTTTTTTTTTTTTTTTTTTTTTTTTTTCCCGCAATGTACATTGATAATTGTTTTTATTTGCATCATATTTAAAAGTACTTTGATACGTACAACCTTTCTTTTCTATTCAGGATTTTCTCAGTATAAGAGTCAGAAAGTTGCAAGGAAAAATAAGTCAGGGAAAGGATAAATTTGAAATACTAATATATTTTGCACCAGAATCATATTATAAATAGTTAAGTAATTGTAATCATGTATTATAAAGGGAATTTGTAATTCTTTAAAATGGCTTCGCCTCGCAACTCGGAAACTTAACTAAATCCCCTCGGCTTTTTTCCCCCTGTGAGATTATCCCGGTTTTCTGTATCTCAAGGTTGGCAGTTATGCTTGTGATTCACTTTGCTGTGATCATAGCCGGCTTCTGGCAATTCATGATTCCTGTATCCCTTCCAGGTACTGGATTTGGAACGGTCAATGGTTTTTTTTTTTTTTTTTTTTTTTTTTTTTTTTTTTTTCACGGCAAATTTCTCCGAAAATCACTTGCAATGGGAGAACTCGGCTAACATTATCTTTAACCGACCCGCATTCTAAATTTTGCTTGCATTTTTTGACACTGCGTTTCCATGAAGTATAACTTCACTGAATGCAAATTTTCGCATTCTGCATTGTTGGATAAAACACCATATTTCTGAAGAAATCCAACGCTTTCTTTTTCATTAGGCGGCAAACTTCCTAGTCCCATTATGATTCAGTTCGGGAGAAAAAATTTGAAAGGGGGATATCGTGATTTAGAGAAATGATGGTTAAATTTAAATAATATAATTCTACGTATGTGGTACGCATATACGTGGGTTGTCTATTTTCCATTTTGGCTTACTTTCTAGTAACACTACGGTACTACAAGGACAAATCGGTCAAAAGTAAGTCAGAAACACTACAGTACTGAATCTTAAAACCGAGGGGTGCGAATAATCCGGAACTGCCATAATTTTCACGAGTCATTGAAATTTTTAAATATGGGCACCTTAGCTTAAGCAATTAATCTTGCCTTTTTTTCTTTAACTGCTCACTTGAATTTAGAATTTAAATTTTTTTAGCTTGGACAGAATTCATGAAGAAGACAAACCTTGGCAACGCTCATTTAGTTTGCTACGTCGAGGTAGCAGTCGTTACAGGAAAAAACGTCATGGCAACAACCAACAGGTGTGGTGCATGAAAAAATGCACTGTTCTGTGTGCATTGTTATGAAGGCACTGCCCTTTATTTTGCATGGATCCTTCTATCTGTTACTTATCATGCACTCACTACCTTTGTACTGATTGTAAACTGAAAGAAATAAAATATATCTGACCCTGTGGTTGCACCAAACCTTTGTTCATTGCTTTGTCTCTCAATGTTTTCTGCTCTTGTATTTGTGGCTACATCCCTTCCTAATGTCATCTCATTTCATACCCACATTGTGTTTTAACCGGAAAAGGATATTTTAATTGATTATGACGTATTTAAATGTCTTTTAAATATAACTTTTTCTTTCTGCTTTTGTTAATTTTTTTCCTGATTATTAATGTTACTTTTTGAGTAAGTTTTAAATTTATAGTTTTAAAATGAATGTTTCTGAATATAAATGCAATATTTTATACATTAGTGTAAGTCAATGCAAAATGATTTAAAACGAACTGGAAACTATGTAAATAGAGTAAAACTGGGCTTGAAACCTAAGCTGTATAAAACTATTATATAAATTTTCAAATGATGTTATTTACAGAATTTTCAGCAACAATGCAGTTTTGTCATTCTTTTTATAACTAGGCAGTTTAACAAGTTATTGTTTCTTATTCTTAGAATCTTTGCATTTAATGCAAATAAAGTCCATGTTGTGTAATTACACAAATTCTGATTATAACAAATCAACTACATCTTATATAATTTTAATTTTCAAATGAATAAATAAACTTAACAAAATATATTTTTATAGATGTTACAGAAAGATTCTTAAAAATGTCTGAAATCAATGAATTTCACAATAATTATTTATTTGATTTGAGAAATAGGCATTTCATCATATTTAATTCTTTATTTTTTAATTAACTGTGTTCTTCATATTCGAATGTAGTAACAAAAATTTTATTTTTAAATGTGGAAACTTACTTTCCGTACATGTTTATTATCTTTGTTATATCTGGGCAATATACAAAGTGTCGTTTATTTATTTCTTTTTATTCTGCCATTTACTGTTTTAGAAATCTTGTATATTAAGCACTAGAGCATTTTTTTTTTTATATTCTCCGAAAGCTGCCTCTGCGTAAATGGCAAGTCATTACCTCCTGTTTGATTTTTTAATTTTCTTAATTTAACAAAATCTGTCTAGAAAATTTTGCAAAATTGTAATTTTTTGTGTTGCAAAAATTAGTTTGGATAAAGTTTTGCAATACTGATCTTGCAAAGAGATCATAAGATTCATTGTTTGTTTCCACATTGTGTCAAAAGTTTTATGTATAGTAAAGCAATGAATTATTGAAACTACATTTTCATAAAGATTTCAGTTTTCTTAACATTCCATTATAATTTTAGAGGGAAAATGCCGCTTTCTGTTGCTTTACAGTATAATAATATAATATTAAAGTATTAAATGTCGAATAATTTGCAACTTAATTCTTCAAAAAAACGTTTTTATAGTAAATAAAGGTTTATCAGAAAAGTAATACATATAAGATATATAGTAGAGGTGCATTTTGATAGCAGAGAGTAGTTACATGTAATTTATTAAATACTTTCAATATTTGCCGTTCTTCTAGTTCTTTTGCACTGAAATTTAATATTTAGTTTTATATTTCATAATATTGTTTGATAATCTAGTTTCAGCGAAGATAATCATACATTTCTTGTTTCCTCTTTAAAGCAGTCTGCAAACGTTTAATAAATGTAATAAAGTTTATTTAAACATAGTATCTTTTTTACTCCTGAAGCTCTAATTTCATTTCAAACATTAGTTTTCTATAATTATATGTTATGGTAATGGTTGTATTTCAAACATTTTCTTCTGCTTTTTAATTAATAAAAGAAGTACTGAAGTGTAGTTCTGGTGCAATTATACAGCAAGTGGGCATTAATTTTACACTTGTTCAAAAATCGTTTTCATTAAAATTACTTTTATTCTTCATAATCTATTCTACTTTTTTAAACCTTCTTTTTTTGCTTGTGCTAATACGATATAAATAATGTATTAAGTAAATTCTTGTCTCTTAATATCCAGTAGTCCATTACATAAAAAAGAAATTAAGTCGAGCTTACTTTCAGCTAGGTCGATAAAAAAATACACAAAATTGAATTATTAAATGCTGGTAATCCATATCCACTTCTACTGAAAATGGGCTCCTGTTGGAGTTTAATTATTTAAAATAATTGTATAATAAGTCCCTTTTAATTTTTTTCTAACTTGAAAAAAAAAAAATATGGAAAACTTTCTGAAGCTGCAAGTTCTGTAAATTCCTAAATCAAACTAAAATGAGTTTAGAAGAGTATTCTGCGTGGGGAAAAAAGGTGGTTGACGTTTTAAAAAAATTTCTTTCTGATTTGTATATGACATAAAGGGTAAATGATTAAAATATCTTTCATAAGAAATGTAAGGATTTGATAGTTAAGCTAAACTTTGAATTTTCATTTATCAAAAAGCGTAGTTTCAGTAACTTAATTCTTCAGATTTGTAAATACCTCTTAATTAAGGCAAAAACAACATCTTATTTGATTTTTTCAAGCTTTGTTGTACTTTTTAGTATGCGTATCTTTTATATTTATGTATTTAAATATAGGTTTATGTGTATATATTCATGTATGTAAATGAATTAACATTAGAGATCCGAACAAAATATAAGCAATTACCCAGATCTGTGTTTTAATCTTCACTTATTTACGCAAATGTAATTTATGCAATGTTTCAGAAACCATGATAAAATGGCTTTGAAATATAGCTAGTACTTATGAAAAATATATTAGTATGTATTACATATATTCGGTCTCCCAGGTACATTTTGTATTTAAAATATATGCAGTTTACATGAATGATCTAATTCAGATTTGAACACTTATTCTGAAGTCAATTGTTTGGTGTTCAGTTATTTATGCGTATGTAGTGCTCAAACTCTATATTATACGAAATTATTAATGTAATGTAAATTAAACAATTATTAATGCTGAAAATTATTAATGTTCATGGGTAGCTATTCATATTTTATAAAAAAGTGTACATTAAAGTTACACATTTAATATTTTACTGAGCATATGTAATTTGCTTAGAAATAAAATTGTTTATTTCTTTATATAAACTTTGAAAATATATAGCATTTTTAATTACATCATGATAATTAAGGAAAATTATTAGTTATATATAATTTTATATGAATATAACATCTCAAACAAAAGTTCATTTTAAATAGTTTATTCACTTGAAATATATGTATAAGTAGAAAGTGTTACTCGTGCAAGAGAGACCTATGTGGTCATATATATATATATATATAAGAAAAGCTTATGAACTAAACAAAAAGGACTTGTGAGGTCAAGAATTTTGCGCATTGAGCTGCAAAATTTGAAAATAAAGTTTAAAAATAATTCTTCAAGCTATAGTCTACTAGTAAACTGATACTTCGTTCCTATGCAAATTAGTATAAACACATAGTAAATATCCAATTGCAATATAAAATGTAAAAACATAGAAAGTATGAAAAAATAAGAAAGAAAATGCTAAAAATGAATGCTTAATTTTATTGGAATTTAAAAGTAAAAACGTATGTAAAATAAAGTGTAAGCTATCTCATTACATATTTAAAAAATATATCATATTAAAAATAATAAGAACCAAAAGCAGCGGTAAATGGAATAATTAGCCTAATTCGAACATCATCATGGACTTTTCAAGGGAAATGCATATTGATATTTGAACTTTGCTAAATTCCAGAACGCGTTTCGTCGAACAGGCATTGAGACTGATAGCCAACAAATTATTTATTATTAAAAGTCCCAATATTAATTTTAAACCGGGTCTCAATTTCCCTGTTCCATTTCCCGACGCGTCCGCTGTGAACTAGTTAAAGTCCTACTAGTCCGCTGTGAACTAATATATATATATATATATATTATGATTGCTTTAAAACTTTTTAATTGATTATTTCATTAGTAATGGGGCAGTTACGGCTTTTATTAGCTAAAGTTCAGATAGTATGTGTCTACGAGTGAATGATCTAAGTACGTAAGGCCAATGAACATTAATAATTATTTTCCGAGTTTTATTCTCAGTGTTTAAAATTGGGTAGTTTCATGTTTTTTCTTTCTGTACAAGTAACACTGCAAAACATTCAGCGATATATGTAATAAAAATCGCATTTATCTTGAAATTTCTGGATGTGCACAAATGTATTTCCTCTAAAGCTGATATCTCTAAAAAAGTCTATAGTATAGTAAATTGGCTTGTTTATCAATTAATGTTTATTGTGCGTCAAAAACGACTTTAACTTAATGGAACAATAAAATTTACAGAGCAATGCAATAGATTTATTCGATCTTATAAATTCTATCGATTTAAGACTGCCAGTGTCAAATATTATATATATTTTTTTAGTTTCGCATAATTTTTATGAAATCTTTTTTCTTTATTTCTGTATTTAACCGTGCTATATTTTAACACGTAATTTTTACTTTTTATTTTCAGGCTGTTGAATTACTCGGAATAAATAATTCTAGGAGACCATCTGCAATAAATCTACATGGATCTCCTAACAGAGTTAGTATGATTAAGGACTAAAAAGTGTTAAATCTAAGTGCTCTTATCTAAATGTGCTGCTTAGTATAGATGATATTCAACCATAATGTCATTTTTTATTATGTTACTTTTCATATTTCTCTATTTTTCTAAGAATGAAAATTCTGAGGCATTTTTAAGAAACCATTTGAAATGTTTCTAATTTATGTGGATAATCTTGAGTTTCAGCATAGGTCAACTATATATTATGAAAACTTCTCATTTTTAGTTAAACTGTATTTATTTTTGGAAACAGCAATAACAAATTTCAATGGATATTTTTGTAATCTAATGCTTAGTGAAGACTTGAATATTGTATAATAATTAGGTTATATTGTACTAAATTTGCCATACAGATAAAAATCTGAAATAATACCTCTCGAATAATTCTGCTTGAAAAATGTTTTTCCGGTAGAATCCGCTTATTTAAAATTTATGTAAGTTTTGAGCAGTATATTAACTCTAACTGTTTAAAGGAAGAAAGGATATCGAAAAATGAATATATCACATTATAAAGTATATTTTTTCCCTGATATAATAAAATAAATTGGTGCAAATTTAATTCATGTCATATAAATTTTACCTGAACACCTCTCCGTATTGTGAGGCAGTGTACTTTATATCAAACCGAAAAAAACGGAGAACGTTTTCGTGCGTTAAATCGTCGATAGACTTCTGTAACTTGAATCAACAATTTTCGAGAAATTATATAACATAGCCATAAATACTGTTTCACTCAAAAGATAGGTATCTAACTGTTTTATCATAATTTCAAATTATTTCTGTTGAAACAATATAAAAATTAATTCTCTCTACATAAAATTGTTAAGATTTAAGAAACTGAACATATATATATACCACTCGTAAATATAAGGAAGAAAACCACATCAAATTTTAATTTAAAATTAGGCAACAATCAACCCAAGGGTGGTTGGTTTTATCAATTCTGAGCATATCCAATTTTTCCAATATAATCTAACATGATCTAAAAATTGATTTTTATTTAATTGTAATTACTTTTTAATATAGAATAGAGTACGTTCTGAGAAAAGTGACATTCGCATTCTAATAACGGCTAAAATATTATATTTCTGTTTTTCAATGTTTAATTTCAAATATAATTCTAAACTGTAGCTTAATACGCTAAAGTCGTTGAAGTGTGCTAACTAGCTGTCAAGGACTGTATTGAACTTTTTCATATAATGGCAGACTAATGAATAATACCTTATTTAGAAGACAATTTTGTTCTGAATATGTAGTATTTTGCATTTATAAAATACCGGTATTATTTTAAATGAAATGATTTTAAAAATGGTTCTTGAGAAAACTAAATGTCTCAATACTTTTCCACAGAGTTATTATAATTAATTGTTACATAGCGATTATTGTGAAGTTCCCAATTCTTAAAATATGTTTAAACTAAAATCTGGCCTTTCATCAGAATCAATGAGAATTAAACGTGATTTCTTATTCTATAAGAACATTTTAACTATCCTGAAGATTCCATACAAGAAGTCATATCTTATTAGTAAAAGGAAATAACTATTGCAACAGGTAAAAGTATGTGTTTATATTGTATTAGGCAATGTCCTTTAATTGCAACCTTTCAAGCATATTCACATTAAGATTTTAGTATTGCATTTCCCTTTTAACATCAATATTAGATTTAGTTCAATAGAAATACTACAATTTGTTATGATTTCACTACTTCAAAATGCCAATTTAGCGGATTATGAGCTACTTAAATGCTGACTTGATCTTGCCTGTAGAATTTTCATCTGCAGCATTTTTCTGTATAGACGTCTCTTATATGTAAGGTTATTATAAATGATTCTTACCGCTAGTTTTAAACCGCTGTATTTTTGATGAATTATCCCAAGTACAAAAATGATTACATGAAATGAAATAACAGCCTTTCAAATTTTAATTACAGCAGTATAAATATTTCTTTTGGACTTCACTGGCACATGGCACGACCCATGTGGAAAAGGCATGGATGTATGTAAATGTATAGTGTCTGTGCGGCATGGCGGCACTTTAAATACACGGCGAGCCGAAAGTCTTCTCGAGAGGTTGAGGGTTGGGAAAGAGGGGTGGAAGACCCTCGGAGCGTCCCCCCGAGGTGCTGTCCTTCAAAATTTGGGGCGGAACTGAGCGAAGTCGTACTGTCTTCTGTGTGGTGCTCAAGGCTCTTGTCAACGACAGGCGCAATCTTGCTCTACTTGCCACGATGAATTTCGTGGGCTTGTTACTGTCAGACAAGGGAAATAAGTCACAACACAACAACATCTACAACAATACGTATTATAGGGCATAAATATAGTAATAATAAGAGTAGCGCTTTATGCAATAAAACCTAGCAATAAAACCTTTATGCAATAAACCAGAAGGTTGGCAACAGACATGAAAGTAACAGAAAGCACAGTAACAATTATAGTACTTGTTATTTTTATGCTCGAAATATACATTGTAGTTACAAATCTGAGCATCAGTAACAATATGAGTGGAATTTTCAAGGCATGTTTCCATGTTTCATCGTTAAAATTACTGAAACAAGGAAAAGATATGCAATACTAATAATTTAATAACTATTGAATGAGAAAACTTAAACTGCCCCTAATATATGAATCATCTTATTCTTTGTATTATACAAGTATGTTTAAAAAAAATAACATAACTTCAGGTAAAACTCCAGCTTTAGAAAAAAGTCCAAATAATTACAATACCTTTATTGTCAATTTCTAACTATTCGCACCCCACGATAACAAACATTGCTTGCCACTCACTGGCGAGAAATATTTATTTGACTATGCTTTATGTCTGATAAGTTTTATACTGTTCATAAATAATAAAAAAGAATTTTATGTTTACGCTAGAAAATAAAATTCTATTTGGCTCTGATATTTATATTTTTAAAACCAATAAATACTGTCTAATTAAATACAAAGCGTGCTATTCCACATATAGTACATAATTATTATATAGGATAAAATGGCTGATACATGTGTATGATACGCAAATATGGGGTTGGCTGTTGTCACGTGGATACCGTAAGAAGAAAACTGTAGTACTGCTGCTTAACTCCATGGTGTATACTCGAAATTACACCTAAAACAGAACTGTTCTATGTAAGGAGTGTTTTAACTGGAGAGCAGATAATCAGAAAGTACCTATTTATTTCAATTTACTAATTTTACATGTGCATGCTTATTTTGAATTTTGATATATCCAGCATAAAATTTACGATATTTAATATTTAAGTACAGAACGAGGGAGGAGATGTAAAATATTATTAATAGTTTTCATAAATCATCAAACTCTTACTAATGAAAATTTATTCTGCTTTCTTTCTAAAGTGGTAGATATAACTGTAAGCAACACAAGACTTCTCATTAGAGAAAATTATTGAGATTATAAAGTAAAACCAGATTTCACTGTTTCATATGTAATAATTTAAAACAGTGATTTCCAAATGCAACATAAACTGCTCACTGAACACATATCACAGTACTTCTTGCCATCAGAGTGGCAAGAAGTATGCATATGTAGTACTTCTTACCACTGTCATCACTGATGCCACAAACCCTTTATATAGTCAAAGATGTACGTTTGGAGAGATTAACATGCTGTTTGTTATTATGAACTATACCAATGATTACAAGAGAGTCTGCATCTGCGAATTTAAAAATTTAAAGAATTTTCTTTCATTATATGAATATAATGAACACGCGTGATCCATTACTTAACAATGAGATACATTCTGATGACGTCAGAAATTACGTAATCTACGTATAGCTAATATAAACAAGGAAGGTAGATGATCTCTGAGATCATGTGACTTATGTATAGCTAAATGTAAAAAAAGAAAGTCATTCTTCTTCTCTCGTGAAATATCGTATATCATTAGGACTTGCTTTTGGAAATTTTTTCTTTAAATTACTGCCTTTTATTGGGTAACTGATTTCTCTTTTAATAATTCCTATTTTAACTTATTTAGCAAGATCAAAATTTAAACTTTCACTTAATTTTTAAAACTATAAAGTTTCTGTAATACGAAGTTGATACTGTGAAAAGTTAGTTTAAAAGCAGATTTGCATATTTCACATTTAATTTATATCTACACTTATTGTACATGTGTATCGAGTAATTTATTTTCGTAATATAAGTAATTACTGCATCCCTCTTTGCGTAATTTAAGTGGTAGTATGTCTAGCTAATAACTAGAAGATCCATAACTCAAATCATGACTAGGACATAGTTGAGTTTTCATGTTTCCTACTCTGAAAAAGACCTTGATGTCTCTTTATTCATTAGGCGAAACCTTCACATTTAGGGAGCAGTACTAGTGTTCAGCAAATAGGTGAATACTCCTCTCAGGGGGGATGTGTTTATGTTTTTAAACTTTAAACCTTGCATAAAATCTAGCAGGAAATGTGTGTTTAATTAAAATTTTTAAAATCTTAATTGTAATAATTTTCTTGCATATAATATGTTTCTTTTCTGTCTTATTTAAATTGTACAGCTAAATTTTCTTTTAAAATACAATAAAAGTTTTTAACTTTGTTTTTATTTACAATGTTAAAGACCATTTGTGAAAGTAACCTTAATACCTGTTAAAAAATTACTTAAGAAAAATCAATTTTTTAATGCAGTTAATTTCTTTCAGTGTGCAATAAGTATTCATTGACTACTTTCACAGATAAATTTCAAATTCAGAGTTATACTTTCCTATAAGTATTCATAAACCTTTTGTTTTCTAACAGAATGATGGTGATCATTTGAGACCTAACGGGTATGGTGGTCACTACAGAAGATCAAGATCAAGGTCTCCAGGTCGAGGACGTTCTCCAACTCCCACAAGGTTAAGAGCACGTTCACCAACTCCCATAGGGAGGTCTCCTTCTCCACGCAGGCATGATATTGGCTTTTCAGATGCTGTGAGTGATGTAGTGGATTTGGTCAAATATGAAACCAGTCGAAAGGGTAGAGCCAGAGGTAAACTTTTCTCTTTCTCCTTAACATTTTATTTAACAATAGTTTTTAAACTGAAGTTCATTATTTTAAATCTGCAGTTGGCTACACTCATTAACATTACTGTCATAAATAATTTTCATATACTCATCATCTCAGTTATATGTGTGTACGAGAAAGATGGCTATATGCTTTATTTTCTGAAACGTTGATATTAGATGTATGCTTATAGAGTTTCTCAAAATAAGACATTGAATTTTATGAAGGCAGTAAGAAAATTTTGCAACTCTAAAATCTAACCTTGTGTATGATCAGTAGGAATAAAAACTTCAGTTAGTTAAACGCATTCATTATGTTTTATAAAACTACAAAATATTCCATGTCTTCATATACAAAATTCACAGAGATATACATAATTAAAACTTCGTGGAGCAGCTAAAATTTATAAATGAATTCTGCTCCATCTAATGTAGAAATTTAACTCCCAAAATGAGCGACTTTTGTTTTATGATCTTATCCCTAATTTTGCTCAATATTGTTGAATTTTATGCTTGAGAGGCATAGTGAAATTATCTAAGTGATTAAATTTATTCTAGGATATCTCTTCGAACTTTAAATGTATGTAACTTTTCGTTTTTAACTCCTTAATAGATAATTACTAATTAGAATTTTTACTCTATGAAGACAATAAATTACATTTTATATTTGCGGAAAACTGCCATCATTAAAAATTTAAATTATTCTACTGAATTTCTATACTTTATTTTGTGGAAGTACGTATTTGAAATCCATGTCTAACTATGTCTATTACCAGTGCTTGAAGAAATAGTAGCTAGCTTTTCTTTAACAGCCTGTATGTTGTCACTCAAAAGACTGAGTTTAGCGTTTCAGTAGCTATTTTTCTGAGCAAGATCATACTAGTTAGCATCTGAAATTAACTAAGAGAATGTCAATGATGAATGGCTGGCAAACGTTCATCGAATTTTTACATATTTTTATTTAGCTGATAGTAACAAAATTACATATTCACTTTATTAAAAAAAAGGAAGAGAGAGTCTCTTCGAGAAATAACAGCTGATACTGAAACATTAACTCAGCTACCATTCCCAGGCTGCGGTCGGGAAATTAAAGACACGCCAAGTTTTCAATATTTTCCAGATATTATTAGGGATCCTGATATATTACAAACATTCTATATAGATAATAAAGATTTGAAGAGTGCTTTAGTGCATGTCATGGAATGTGGAAACTTCTCAGAAAACCAGCAGAAAAGAATCCTCCTGTAAGGGGTGTTAACAATACAAAACACAAGGTGCTAAGAACTATGACGGAGCTGACGAAACGACTAGACGCAGTAAACCATTTCGCTTCCTGTGATCTAATACTGGACCACAGGAATAAACCATTTCCCTACCTATGGTCTAACACTGAAACCACCTACTCAAAATTCCGTAGAATATAAGCCGGTATTTCTTGTGCAACCATTTGCATAAATAGGTAATATAGGAGGTCATCTTTTGCTGCATATCTGAAATTTCAGGATAGAATGCAGTGTTTCATCAATATCAGCATTTTCTCAGTGTAATATCAATTGTAGAGTGCCATAACATCGCTGCTTTTTTTTTTTTTTTTTTTTTTTTTTTTTTTTTTTCTGTATTTTGTGCCATAAAATTTGAATATCGCTTGGGCAATGGCTGGTACGTTATTTTCTAAATATTTCAGGCTGTGAGTGATATTTTATATGAATTTCGTTTAGCCATTCCCATTAGTTGAGATATTCTATTATCGTATAGGCCACTGTACGTTAACATATATTTCAAAAACCTATAAAAGATATTACAAAAAGTGACTTCGTGCCAATAAATTGGCCTAATTTCTAAATATGTATTGAAAACGTTGATACAGAGAAAAATATAAATACACGCAATGTAAAAGATGTAGGCAAGCACGTTGCTGGTCAATACCATAACGCATATTTCTACAGCAATTTTACATCCCTACCTTTAATGAATAACCATATAATCTTAGTGCTGTTGTGGTGTAACCACCGTATTTTCTATAAGACTTAAATAAAATTCAATAATTTTTTTATATTTATCATTACCAATATGTTAACCACCTTGCAAGCAAACAAACGTTTCGGGAGGGGGGACTAAAGGATTAAGACTAAACGCAGCCATAAAAGTAAAGTATTAGAGCTGCGGCTAATTTACGTAGGCAGTGTCTATGCGGAAAAGGATAAGTGAAAATCATACAAAAGTGCAGAAATTGGTAAAAAAAAAAGAGAAAACTTAGCTATCGGTGTTCTACATATTTCGTCTGTTTATGGTGAAAATCGCGGATTGAGTTGAATGAGAAATAAATGGATCTCGATATCGCAAAAATTCTGTTTTTTTTTTTAACTATTTTGAGAGCTGATTAGCATACAAAAATAGCATAAATTAGCATAAATCTGCAAACTGTAAAAAAAAAATCTTATGTGTACACCACATGACTTCCTTGTACGGAATATTAAATTGTACGCATTTTTTCTTGCATTTCATTTAAACTTATTGGATTGAATTAAATCTACTTCGCCGACAGCGCATAAACCACAATAGAATAAATGCATTCTTTAAAATTCACTCTAGTATTTGTTTACCATAGCGATACTCTGGCGCTAGATTCACTTAACAGTATTTATTATATTTCGTTCATATTATAACTCATAATGCACAAAATTTATATCATTTAAAGAATAGAATTATCTAATCGTTGCCACATGTTCTATTCAAATACTATAATAAAAGCTAGAATGATGTATAACGAAATTAAGCACAAACAAAAAAAAAAAAAAAAAAAAAAAAAGAAACAACAGTTTTTTCACAGACGATTGAGTATTTTCTCATTCAATTAATTCAGTTTCTCACTTCGCTAAAAGGCAAAAATACATAAAATATCTATATTAAAAATTACGAAGTAAATCTTAAACACTTATTTCCTCGAAAAAATTCCAGAAAGGATTAAGCATGATTTAATTGGCAATAATAAATAAAGGCGTTATCTTTGTTGTTGCGAAGCTAAGTTTTTCTAGATTGGCAACAAATCCACTAGTCTACTGTTTCAAATGTAAACAGTCAATGGTCGTCAAATAAAAGGCTTAGCGGCACTTAAACAACTTTAAATTGTTGATAATTCTAAAAATATTCACACAGATATTCTAAAGGCATACCTTAACCAGAAGATAACAACAACATAATTCAATCATTTTTAAAGCAAAAAAAAAAAAAAAAATGTACAATTTACAAACATATAAGAGTAAAGAAACTGAGATCACTGAGCCGGGTAACAGAGTGGATATATATATAAATTATATTTATGTACGTTTTGGTGCGGCCGATTGCAACCAAAATACGAGTTGCACATCTACATGTTATAGCAGTCCTATATACAAAATTTCAACGTTCTGAGGCTACTCGTTTTTTGAGTTATGCGAGATACGTACGTACGTACGTACATACGTTCGTACACACGGCCACGAAAATTCTCTTCAGAATTAATTTTTTAAAGCAGTTTTATAATTTTTTGGGGAGGAAACGAGTCTTTTATTCTGTCCTTACGTACAGATATCACGCAAAAACATAGTTAAATTGCATTCGATAGTGGTCAAAATGGATATTTTCGTTGAAATATGCTGCCTGAAACGTTTAGCGATTACAATACTTCCATTTTACTTCGTACAAGGAAGTAAAAAAGAAAATGTCGATATGTGGAAAAATGAATGGGTACAGGAAGTTCGTATCCTGCGTGTATGAGTAAGCAGTTTATATTATTGATATATACCATATTTATGCATCCTCGAACTTTTTAAGGAAACTGGAATTTTTTGTCTGGACATAAAAAATATAAATCTTCGCCCTCTAATGGAGAAATGTCGATCTTTTGGCGTATATGAAAATGAAGTGAGTTGTAATAGGATAATTGCTCACAAGAATATTTCTGTCCTTCCTTAAACGAAGTGCATCATCAGTGGTAGAATGAAAATTCACGAAAAGCTGCGCGTAGGAATTGCTGATTTCCTTAAAGAAAATACACATTCGAAAAGACTTCTAATTGCGGCTGCCTTTATAGATTTAACAAAGAGAAATACGGTAGTAAAAAACATCAATATAAGTGTGTACTGACATTAGGTTATTTCGAAGCAGGAGCTATGGAAAATGAGCAATGCCCTCCCCGGTACTCAAACGACGGGCCTCTCGAATACGCGCCGAGTTTGCTGGCCATTACACCACGAAGGCATGCTAAGAAGGCGAGAGAAATACCTTATAAGTGATAGGCCACGTACATTTATGAACGGAGAAAAAAAAAATTGCTTCATGTTCCGCTGTTACAAATATCTCAGGAACTTCCATGGATTTGAAGCCCATTCCAGCGGAATTAAAAGATTTATTTGAAAGCCGAGAATTAAATATTAAACAAATTAAAACTGCAAAATGTTTAATAAAAGAATTTAAAGATTTCTTCTCAAATTCATCTTATGATGCTGGTCGCACGAATATAACAATTCCGCACAGATAAAAATTACAATCGCACTTATTTGATCATTGTTTTGATGAAATATGAAATTTTCATGCAAGCCTAATTTTATAGCATTTTTCTGTAGGTTCGGTTTCAGTATATCTAAATGCATCATGTTTATAACACTAATCGATGAAAAGAAGCTTTCCAACTTCGCTTACGGCCATGCAAAAGTTTTGTGTCTTTAATTGATATGAATTAGGTAATTCTAGATACGTTCTTGGATTTCGAAAACTTATGCATGATTTCTCTCTGGTAGAGCATGTGACTGTATTAAATTTTTATGTAAATTAACCAATTATTATAATTTGAGCCTTGAGTATAACTTTTTTCCGTAGTCCTCACCAGAATGCAAGTTAGTTGTTTGTGTATTTAAGCAGAGGATTTGAATGTTCAGAGTTAGAGCTTTTGGCAGCCTCGTCTTGCTGTTTCGTATTATTTCCAGTTCTGCCCAAGTTTATTTTTAGCTTTTGCATCTTGCTAGCCATTGTTTAAAATACGCGCTGGTAATTATCTTCAGCCATTTGAAATAGGTTATTTTTTGTATCGCTTCCGACTACGTTACCTACATTTGAATTTAGCGTTATTTTATGTTAACTTAAATACCGGCAAGAAGCAGAAGTCCGTCTGTCGCGCAAGTTGTATTTTCTGTTCATTTATTTCAGAATGAAATAAAAAGATTATTTTAACCTTCTTATAAGATTATTTTAACCTTCTTATAGATTATTTAAACCTTATAATAAAAGATTATTTTAACCTTCTTATAAGTCTTGAACAAATGACTTGGTCATTTGTTCAAGACTAGATTCTGCAGGATATTGAAACAAGCTTCTAGATACAGCAGAACTCTACAGCTTTTATATCTACCTTTTCTAATATTTCTGAAGGTTTGGGCACAAATACGCATACCAATGGTTTCAGAGTGTTTTACAGCAAGTTTAGTGTGGGATTCAGTTGGATTTCCTTCAATATTTTTCTTTTAGCACCTGCTGTCGGAATTTATTTTCCCTCTTTCACTTTTATTTTTAACCAGTCCCTTTCCTTTTACGTCCCATGGACACACGCGTCACTTCGTCCTATAATTTTAGGAATTTTATGATAAGATTTGTCATTTTTTGATAAACTTAAAAGTCCTTTATAACATTAATACTGGTTTCTATTCAAGACTTCATATTATCTTCTAAAATTACAATTATAACGTAACAAACAGGCCACGTCGAGGAATAAACAACTGTTGTTCACGAGCGATTCTGCAGTGGTTATACTAGATTTCTGTTACTTTTGTAGCACTTTCTAGAAAACTTAAGAGAGTTCCATGTGGAGCATGAGACTTTAGTGTTACATAACGATGTTTCCTGGAACGACAGACCTAAGAATCAGAGAAAAAAAATTTAGACACTTTGTAAAAAGCAGAAATCCGGTACAAGTCTGGAAATGAGGTGGCTGGGTTGGCATCAGAGTCATGGCAAGTGATGATAAGAAGGTGAGTGCTGAATCTCAGGTCACGTGGAAAATCCACAATGATGATAAGAATTTATCGCTAAAGTCTGCAGCTTCAGAGAAAGTAATGACAGTTAAATACAATTTTTTTATAAAAATATTTGTAAAATTTTTCTAATAGGAATCCTAAATTTCATAAATAAAAACATTTTAATATAATTTGATTGTCTATAATATTAATTACAGACGTTCAAATGCCGACACTTTCATGCATAATAATCATAACATTTTACATGTTTTATGTTTTTTACTTGAAATTCACTAAACTAATATAAACGTTTGTTAAAAAAGTATATTCTCATTTTTCGGAGTCACTGTAGGTGTAATCTTGCTGAACTAGAGTTTACTGTTGAACAACTCAGAATCTTTAAGAAAACTTTAAGACACGAAGAAATAAGCGATTTTGCACCGATTTGCTAAGTGTATCACTTCACAGCCAAATACAAACTAATCCTAAAACACATTTGCATTCCTTATTGATGATTTTCTTCTTCTCTTTCCGAATTAATTTTTGTAAAAATAAATTTATAAAACCTTTTAGGTGATGCAATGTGTCGTATTTTTACAAGCTAAGCAAAATGTTTTGCAAAGCCGTTATAACGACGTAAAATCTTTAGCATCAGTATCTCTGTAGTAGCGCTGTTCGAAGAATATGATTAATCATTCGAAGAATTGCAAATAAATGTTGCATATAATCACCTCAAGCGTTTTAACACTAATTACGGGAGATTCCATGTATCCATATATGTGACAGAGTTCAGTTTCTGTATTCATTCAAGTAACAATTATCACAAATTAATAGATAAATTTATTTATACAGATCCAAAATATTATCAGAAATCATAATGATGACTGAAGATTGATTAAGTTTTCATGAATTTTCGGTTATCAAATTATAACATGATGTCTTATTGAATTGAGTTTTTCTAATTACTTTCAGAATTAATAGTAGACTCTTTTTTGTGCCTGCTGAAAAAGACGTAATTAAATGACTCTTTAACTTCTTTCTTTTTTGAGCCCTGATCAAGAATTTTTTTTTTTTTTTTTTTACACTGATCAGAATCTTATTTAAAAGCATAATACATTTGATGAAGACTTTTATGGGGGGTTTACTATATGATGACTTATTGAACCAAGTTTTTAGAAGTAGTTCCTGAATTTCTAGTGGTCTATCATTTATGTTACTGAATAATGAAGACATAGTTAAATGACTTCTTTCTCTCTTTTGGTCTTGGCCATTCTTTGCTCTATTTTAAATTTCTTAAGCTCATGGTACTGAATTACTGACATTTTCAAAGAAAATATCTAAGATCATAGGTGATTTTAATTTTATTATCACGGTTCATTCAGGATATGTTGATTCTCCTGCGTTTTTAAGTCATAATAATATGTAAATTTAATTATTATTTTTTTAATAATTAATTTTTGATTTCTAGTGTATTGCAGATTTGTATGAAGCTTCTGTATTTTTAATAAAATGACTAAAGTATTTTTAACAATGTTTCAGATTTAATAAGTAATGATTATATATTATTTATGCAATCTTATTTATGTGTTTGTTGCAGGTAGACTTATGAACTTCTTTCATTTTTAGTTTAAAAGCATGTGCACTATCATTAAAATAATTTTATATAGCAGAATTGGTATAGTTTTGATGGAACTGCTTGAAATAGAGCATAGAGGCAGACAGAATTTCTACATGTCATTATTTAAATACACTATTTCCATATAATGTTATTTAAAAATAACATTAAATTACTTTCTTTCACAGAATTTAGAGTCACATTAAAATTCACATTTTTTTGGTTCTTAATTCATTATACGAGTCGATAGATTCAACAAGGCTACTTTTCTAATTTCTCTTTCATTTAAAATTTTTGTTCTCTAGTGTCCATTTCGTAACTCTGAGTTTCTACCCCCGTTTTAAATAATAATTTTTGCATCTATCTTTTCATTCTTTTTTATTTCAATAGTCAGTTATGTTTATTTTTAAGCATTAGAATTTTTCAAAATAATAAAATATTATCTTTTGGAGACCTTTGGAATAATCAAAATCTTCCCCTTTTTATTTTCTTCACTTTCTCACGTTGACACACTGAGCAAGATGGGGGTCTACATTACGAATTTTCGGAAGAGTTTAACTTTTTTGGATATTTCGGAATAAAATGTTTAGGTTTTCTGTAAAGAAGTACAGATTTTGATTTCGACTGAAATGTATCTTTGCTGTTGCAGCTGCGTGTGATTTTGAAATAGAAATGTGCAGTATTCTTCAATTTCAATTTTCATTTGAGGCAATCCTCTTATTTTTCTTTCCTGCTTGATAGAGCAATCCATAGATCTGAAACTGCATAAGAAGTTTTCTCCTTCCCCTGTGCGTCCACATGGTGTAAGTGATATTACGTCCAACTAACAATGGAAGATCCTAATTCGAATCCTGACGAGAGCAAGGTTGATTTAGCTCGTTTTTTGGCTCCTTGAAAATCTGATAGATTCTACAATTATTTTCATATTTTGGAAAAGAAATCGTAATATTTAAACAACATTGTTATTAACTGATGCGGATTTATCCTCTAACGAAGTTTGTAACTTTTCTACTCTGGCACATGTTTCCCGCACTTAATCACGGGGAATTTTGTAAATATTTGCTGTAATCTAAAATGATTATTTTCCAGATTTAGTTATGTATTATTTTATCATCGCTAAATAAAATACTAACCTTTTTTAGTAAATTACTAAATTAACTCTCAGCTCAGGTTAATACTAACCTCTCAGTTTTTTTTAGCTAACAAAGAACACGGAGTGTTGTTACTAAGCCTGTTGATATATACAATCAATGCGAAGATGTTCGTTTCTCTGTAAAGTTACTGCAACTGCCAATAAGTTGTTTTACAGAGAAACCGTGGCGGCTATAATGGGGAGGAGGTAATTATATAACACTGGCAACTCTTCGCTGCTGTTATACCATTTACAAACTTTATAATAACACGCAATTAATCAATTTAATTTTATGACATTAGCAGTGAATTTGTATTTTATATATTTAATCTTTAAAGCGAATAAATTAGTTATAAAATTGTGAAAAACCATTTATTATATACGTTTAATATTCTAAGCAAATATTTATTACCTGTTTTGATGCTTATCTTCATATCGTTTTAGCCAAAATTCGTGGTGATGAGTATATTGTGCATCCTCATGATTCTCCTACAAGAGGAAAATCTCCCGACCAGTGGCCAAATAAGTCAGCATGGCAAACTGGATCTCCTAGGTGGAGCCGCAACAACAGCCCTGAATACCACTCTTCGTGCCTTGACAGAAGATCCCGTAGCCCAAGCCCCAAACCTACGCCCACCCACAGCGACTATCACTACCGTATGGGCGTCACCCAACAACAAGAGCATCGCTCTCGCAGCCCAAGCCCATCCTCCGCCCACAGCCTTCCACTTCAAAGGCGTCCAGGGGGACGGAGGTTGCCTCCGACCCCAAATCAGCCTTCCAGGCTGCGATTTGATGTGCATTCGATGGAGGGAATTAATTTCCCGTCACAGATCCATTCTCCACCAGTGCCTCAGCGTCGTGGAGTGCTGAGTGTAATGAATTTTCCTCGTTTAAATCCATCGCCTACTCACTTGCCAAAGCTTCAAATGCCACCTCTCTGGCGTGACAGAACATCAACTTATTTAGGAGCACAATATCCACCTTTAATAAGGACGGAACGGCAGAGTGGCAGCTTGCCAGGGCGTCCCCCTGGTTTCAGAGAGAGGGATACATATTTATATCCTGCTTTTTCACATTACAACCAACATCATGGACATGATGAACCTCTCAGCTTTGAAGCAGCTGCTAACTTTGGTAGAGGATCACGTCAACTTCCATCAACCCTTCCTAATGGTTATAAACCTGGCCAACGAGAAAGAATGTTGCATCGAGATTCAGCAATGCTTGCATTACGGACAGGTCATGTGGGAGTTCGAAGAAGTGACTCAGATGAAGATGATTGGTGTTAACCATTCATTTCATAGCATTTCAAAATATAGTAATTTAGGTACCCTAGCCAGAAACATCTGACATATTGATAAGAATATCTTCTCATCACATGCCCTTATTGTGGTCATGTAATGTATATATGATTAAAATCTATTTCAAAATGTGATTGCCATTATCAGGCCCTAGTCAAATAGTTGCTTTTCTAGAGCTAAACCTATTTATAGTCATATTGTCTAGTATCAACCCATTTGGTCTTTCATGCTAAAGATGCTGTGATAACACGGCTTCAATATGAAGTTTAATTTAACTTTGGCATTCATTTTCTAACTGAACTAAATCTTTTTTTTTACTTTAGTTAGAGGTAACACATAATTTTTTTTTTTTTTATATTTGCTCTGATCTTTGAAATGCTAGCTTCGTAATTTATTTGTGCTGTAATTGTTTAATCATTGTTACTGTTCTTAAAACTGTTATTATTTTCTTGAAAGTGGGAAAAAATTCTTAAATAATATAAAAGCAATAATATTAAATATTGAAAATTTTATTGATTTTTATAATTCACTAAATGAAAATGCTTCTTGTAATTATAAATATTTGTATTAAATGCTAATTATTTTCAATTATAGTTAGCCAAATGTGAATTTAAAAGTCTATGTTAACATGGAAAGGTCTTTTAGCCTTCTAGCCCTGAATTGTTCATACGAAAATCTGGAAGAGATTAAATTTATATAATTCAAAACTCGGAAATAAATTTTTTATCATTGGTAAATTTATATGGTTAATTTTACAAGTAAATGGTGCCTTAAAAGGTATGTAAAAATAGCAGAGATGAATAGCATATCTGTTTTTTGGCAACGTTGAAAGTTATGACTAATGGGTCATTGTTCACCATATCTGATTTGTCAGTGTTGCTGACCTCACAAAAATAGCTGCATACGGAACTTTTTCCAATGCCATTATATTTAAGGTATTCGTCCTCTATCTATAAGTTTAAATAAAATTAATCTAATTATTGAATTTTTATTACATGGACGCAACGAGAAATATTGATTCTTGTCATGAGTATTTTAAGGCCTTTAAAGTAAGCAAACATATATTTCACTATTCAAGATTACTCGTATATTTACTCCTTTCAATAGTATTAAGTGAAAATTTTGCATAAAATTCATTTCCCTTTTCTTTCATCATTGAAAAATCTGATTTTTCTTTGTGAATAACTGCTGTCGTAGTAGATAAAAAAACTCTTGAAGTATGACACTTTTCACAAGGAATGAAATAAAATATAAGATTACAGATAACGTAATTAGATAATAACGTTACATATAGGAGGTTTGAGAGGGATTATAAAACTAAATAGCTTTTAAGAAATTGATTGTACACCCATTAGTATGAGAAAAGTATCTTTTGCGTTAGAAAGGTAGAATTTGAAGTTCAAATTCCCATTCATGAAAGCGGTAAATTTCTTAATTTTACCCAATCATTGAAAATGATTAAAATTGTGTAATTTTATAATTTTGTATATTAAAGAACAAGGGTTCTCAGTCGAGGGGGATTCCTCCTGGGAAGAATTTCATAAAAAAACTACTTTTATTCAAATTATTATATTTATCAACATTATCTCTGATTTTTGCATTTAATGTATAAAAGCACGTTAAAAAATAAATGTATGTATATGTATTTTTTCGAGTTTGAGAAAAGAGAGCGGGGTAATCGTCTGTCAATAGTGAAAGGGGTGCATGGTGCAAAATAGATGGAAAAACCATTATTAAAGAATCTTTTTATTTGTTTTCCATCTACCCACATACAAAAAAAAAAAAAAAAAAAAAAAAAAAAAAAAAAAGGTATTTTTATTAGGTTAAGGACTTACTTACAAAATAGATAATTATAACTGTAATCACTACAGACAATATCATATGTTTTTCCTTTTTACTAAATGATGTATTTCCTTTTTACTAATGTGTCCAAAATTTTTGTCTGCATTATTCGGTTCATTTTTTTAAACTGGAGCTATTGGTCTGTAGCTGTTTAATCGTGGAATTTTGTTTGAATGAGTCATCAATGATAAATTACCTGTGTATTTAAATAGCTTTCCTATAATTTGAAAAATGTTGTAGTTGGGATAACAAATTATTACATAAGAAATTCAACAATTAAACATTTGAGAAAGATGTTTAATATTTAAATGTAATTTGTATGCAACAAATGAGGTTGCAAATTATGCTGTATCTTAGTTCTCTCCCTCTTAAATACTTTACACTAGAATCATTTATAAAATAAATAATACCGTGCCATCAGGAACAATAGCATGAAAAAAATCATCATATTTGATCAGTATTAATCACTGTTTGAAGTCACTGAAAGTATTTTGCTTAACAATTATACCTTACATTAATAAGAAATATTTATCTGCTTTAAAATACAGATATGTTTTATGCTGAACACTTGTAATGCCGAATAAGAAATCTGCATTTCATAAACGGATAACTGGAAGTTCAGTCTAAGTATACAGCTAAAAATTAAGGATTACTGTATAATTTCTTTTGGTCAATAAAATTGCAAAAAATAAATTATGTATAACCCAAGAAATGCACATTGTTTGAACTGAACTGAATACTAAAATTACGTGACAAGAAAATGTCATTATCATATAAAGTAACATTATCTCACACATAAGATCTTCAACTTTTAAATTTGGTCTCTTTCTTCTATCAAGAAAACAGTTTTCATATACAACAGCAGTTTTTCCTAGGAAAAAAAAAAAAAAAAAAAAAAAAAAATACAGAACTGGAGGTAGAATTAAGTGAATTGAAATTACACGTAATATCAGGTAAATTTTATTTGTCTTTACAGATCTAAGACAATGGAGTATTTAAGAAATAATTGATTGTATCCACATGCTCTATTTAATTATGTTATATAGCACTACACATCTGAAGAAATAATTATAATTTACCAAAGTGGTTTTCTTATTTTTGCCATTTATATTTTCTCTCTTTTGTTTGCTTCTGTGAAGAGATCATTTGGAACCCTTATTCTTTCCAAAGTGATCCTTAATATTGCATTGCCCAGAAAATATTTTTAATACAATTTTCAGTTCGGTATTACATTGATTCCTATGTTTTCAAAATTTAAATTTGCATTCCCTCGCAAGCTCATACATTTTTAAGATAAATTCATATATACTTTAAGAGGAACTATTGTGCATAATGGGAGGTTATATACAGGGAGCGTCAGAAAAATGTATATACACTTGAACTGTCGTAGAAAGTTTATTTTCCAAACTACAAGGTTAAGTTTCTAAGAAAAGTAAGGCTATAGTCCAGTTTGATCATAGGGATGTGTAAAGCTTAACTGGATCAAAATGAACCAGGCCAACAGATAGGACACAGGAAACCAATCTAGTTTCCTGCGCGCTGTCCAGGCCTTGCACCGCTCAAATTTTTTATGAGGCATAGTAAAAGGTGAGGTGCACTGTCGTCAACCGCTTTTGGATGAGATTCAAGCGATGTGCGCAGAAATCCCATTGGACACTTTGGTGCGAAGTACGGAATCAGTCATGACTCTTACTCAGAAATGTATTGATGCTGAAGGCCACCATTTTGAACAACATTACTTTAAACACCATTTGGAATGTTCAGTTTCATCAGAAAGTATACTTCTTTTTCATATATGGACTATAGTCTTACTTTTCTCAGAAATTTAACCTTGTAGGTTGTAAAACAAATTTTCTATGACATTTAAAAGTGTGTACATTTTTGACGCACCCTGTAATCTACTTTCCTATAATTCATTTCAAATGAAAATAAGAATAGGTATCCTGCTAGTTCCACTTACATTTATTTTACTTCTTCCACTATCTATTAGAATTTTCTTTAAAATATTTACCTTTTAGCTTTTTTTATAATCGCTTTAATAACTTATAACAACACAACGAGGAAATGGAACATTTCTGCGTGTATGTTATGTCTTTGAAATGCATATTTTTAGTAGTACTTTTATATTTTGAAAATATTAAGGGAAAGTAATATTTGTGTGTGGAGCAGTATTCAATATTCTTAAGAAATTTTAATTTTGTACGGTAAACAATGGTCTTTAAACATTTTCATCGCACCTGTCTTCAATATTCCGAGCTCTAAAAGCATAATATATGCAGCCAGATTGATATGTTGTCAAAAGATACAAATATAGCCTAGCACTATTTATAATTATGTGAAAATCGGATATTATCTAACACAGAATTCTAGAATAATGAAAGAGGTTCAGTTATACATAAATATATATAAAGCATTAAGTTTATTTAATTATAAAATAAGATGTTATTAGATTTATACTATTTTTTTGTTTAACACTCTATATAGCATAAAAAACAACGCACCAAGAAAGAATTATCCGAATGGAACAAAAATCGGCAAGTGGGATGTATATGTATTGAAAACGAAACGCTAACAGTATCATAGATTGAATGCTTTATTCAGGAAATACAGCTACAAGAGCAAAAAATATCAGCTACGCGTTTTTCCACTTTGGGCCCTTATGCAAGCTTTTATCCAGCTGGGCCCTGACTCGCAAGAATTGGCGGATGTCCTCTTGCGATATTGCTTGCTATACGCGTTCCAAATAGCGAATTATTTCGGTGAAATCTAGGGACGATCGGATATGTCTACTCATCAGGTCCCAAATGTGCTCTGCTGGAAGGAGATCTGATGATCGCGCCAGTGAGGGAAATTTTGGAGAAGCACGATGACGAGCAGTAGGAAAGCGTGCCGTAAGCGGCCAAGCAGTATCCTGTTGAAATATAAGCCCAGGGGTCCGTGAAAGGAAGGGTAACACTACGGGGCGTAGAATCTCGTCGACATACCACCATGCTATAACGGCGTCACGGATGACAACCAAAGGGCTGGCTGTCAAATTAAATGGCACCACATATATAACTCCTGGCTATTAGGTTGTCTGGCGGATGATAATCAGGTGAGTATCTCACTATTTACGTAGACGTCTCTAGACACATCTTCGCTGGTTATAGGAGTACAATTCAAAGCGGGATTCGTTGCTGAAAACACTTCTACTCCATTAGTGTTCTCTATTAGCGTCTATATGAGTTAAACTCTATTAGTGTGCATGATGAGTCCGCGATATCTCAGGTCGAATGCGCTCGGTACCACTGCACACGTGCCTGATGGTGTGCAGCGGTCAGCGACGTAACGGCCTCCGTGACCTAAGCTCTCGTCTGGTGTTCCGTCGGATCTTTGATGAGGGCGAATGGGGAACTGCGAGCGCCGATCGAATGATCACTCTGGGCTTCTCACTCACCTCGTGTTCTGTCATCGCTCTCTGTCGACCGCTACCTTCTTGATGCTCTGTATGGCTATAGATCATCCATTCCTGCCAATACCGCCGAATGGTAGCATCATTCGGACTCAAGTGTCTAGCGAGCCTGCGATGTAATCACCCTACTTCATACTAGTCCAATTGCACGTCCCCTCTCAAATGGTGCCATTTGCTCATACTGTTCATGAAGCCGTCTGCAAGGCATTCCATATGGAAATTTTGCTTTAGCATTTTAATGTCCTCTTTTTTATACACCATTTTAATTCTCCGATGCAATGAGCTGGAGCTGCAGCTAGTCAGTCCTTGGCCCCAAAAGTTGCTTTGCATATCCTGTCATAAGGTATGAAATTGCGTCCCATTCCAATATCTCCTTCCTAATGCGTCCCTTTTTTATATTATAGACTGTGTAACACGCATATATATATATATAAGAATGGCAATTAAATATACATATTTAGAGATTAACTATATGTAAATCAAATGTTGTGTACCTATTTTTCTTCTCAGACATCAATTTTGGCTATGAAATTTCCGAAATACAGACTGGTTTTGAGGTCTATACTTCCCAGGGTATGAAGACGAATATATTTCAATGTCATTTTTAAAACAAATAGTTTTTTATCTTTATAATTTTGAAGTAATTTAAAACTTTTGTAAATTTCATTATTGTCTTTTTATTAGTGTGCATATAATAAGCTATAATTAACTTGCTATGCTTAAAATGTGTGTTACCTCTTATTAAAGTTACACCTGATGCATTCCTTGCATTTAATAAGATTGTGTTTATCACAATAAAGTCATTTGCCTGCTGTACGGCCATTTTTTATATTAAAGTTTTCCTTTCTGCCACCATTGTTCACACTCATAATGCAGCTACCTAAATTCAGTGTTGAAAACCATCCAGTAAAGCAACGCATTGCCAGGTTATCTCATCTATTTCCTGAAGTTATATATGCCAAAACATAAACTTTTCTTTTATATATATATATATATTATATATGCTTATATATATATTAGCGCTGGTTTTAAACCACTCCATATATTTAAAACCATCCATTGTAATACACTATCAGTAGTATTTTATTTGTACTACCTTTTATCATGATCTTATTTTGTTAATTCAACTATGCCAAAAGAAGAAAAAAAATACTAACCTTGATCACAATTTTTTTTTGAATTGTGAAATGCATTTATTTTTCTATTGTTAATTGGAATGATTTTTAATAGAAAAAAATGTGTTCTACTGATTTTATTGTTCTAATTCATATCTGCATTCTTATTTCTAGAGTATAATGGATAATAAAATGCGAGTGGCATGTTTATGGTACTTATGCAATGTTTATAAGAAAACTTCAAGCCCACGGTTTTGGTTATATTGGGCAAAAAGTGTATCATATCCAGATATTGCTTAAAATATCAATGAAATTGAGCTATTCTGCCGTTCTACTACGGGTTTCTGGTTTAAAATAGCACTGTATAGATGACGATTCTATATACATATATATGTTTCACTATGTTCCTCTTAACAAAATATTGCCATTTTCCAGTTTATATTGTTTCATCTGAATATCTGGCAATAAATGCTTATCGTAAAACTCCTTCCATAATAATAAATTTTTTTTTTTTTTTTTTTGTTTCCCATTGCTTCTGAATTCGAGCTTTCTCAAAATGTTACTCTGCCAACTGCCTTATTTATATTTGTTACTGCATTTTAATATTTTCTAAATAATATCTAATATAAATGAGACGACATTAAGAATCATACTTTTAATCACATTAGAATGTTTTTCGAAGTTATTTAAAAAATGTGTTTGTTAAAGATTCAGAAACCATTTCTATTGTCTGATTTATTAATTTATTAGACTGTCGTCATTTGTCTGATTTATTAATTTATAAGACCTTGTATTTTGAAACATTGATTGAGTTCCCTTATCTTGAAATTTAAAAAAGCTTTTTTAATAATTGCTGTTTGTGTGATAATGTTCCTGAAAGTTATATATTTTAAACAATATTATTGCTTCTTTTATTTCATTTATATGTAACAATTTTTTTATAAATGTATGATTATATTGGGTTAATGTACTCAAATTATAAAATTAAAACGCGAATTCATTGAACTTATTATTCAGCTCTGTAAATTTTCATAAAACTATGATTTATATTAGAATCCTAAAGTGTTTGACTTCATAGTCTTCGGCTCAAAGAAATGTGCAAAATAAGGTTGTTTTCTCAGCTGATTAAACTAATTTTTTCCTTACTGAGAACTTGTCAGGGAAAAGTTATGCTAATCTGAGACTTCTTTGGGAAAGTAATGACGATCGAAGTTTTACATAGTTATGTACCAATGCTTTAAATTTTCATTATTTTTCCTTCAGAGAAGCTTCAAATTGTCCTTTATGTTTAGAGCGGAATGAAATGAAAAAGGGGAAGAAAAGTATTTATTTTAACTATATTAGTTCCTCTCCAAAAAATAATAATGGTGTAAATTCTGTTTAAACCTTTCAGGTCAGCTGTATCTGATTGTATTTATTTTTTTTTTATTTTGTATAGGAAATTCAAAAGTGAAGATATTTTTTTAATTACATTATGTTATCTATTCTATTTAAAAGTAAATTTTAGATTTAGACACTGCAGGTTTGTTTTCTTTCTGTTGAGATTAAGAATTTTAAATTCCCCACCAAGAACTAGGGCAGGATCATTACAAATCTAAGAGGTTGCAACTTGTATTTTTTATATGTGTAAAATAAAAGAACACAGTTATTCAATACTCTTGCCATTTTTGTAGTTTTTGCTGTGATGCGGTACATTTGCCACTTAAACCCTCCTTGCACATGCTGCGAGATATATTTTGCACTGTATAAGCTAGAGACTGAGCGCACTCATCTTGACTATCTGATTGTTATTCTCTAACAATAGTCTACCATAGCGTCTATTTGAAATTATATATGAAGCCGGACAGTATAAAACTGAGACAAGTTGTGGAAAGTATTATAGTATAGTGTAAATATATTACTTAGAATCTATTTAAGTACAATTCTTCAAAGTTTAAAATTCAGTTTTTTTTAATACAACCTTCATTTGTGTGTGTCGCATTTAATTTAAAACATCATAATTATATCTAATGTATTTTGAATCTTTTGTATATTAGTCGTTACTACACTATAATTTACCATGTATTTTAAACAATGATTTTTCACATAAGATTCTGTATGCTCCCAGTATGTTTTTTTAATTCTGCGTATTTTATTAAAATGCATTCAAAATGTAAATTATTGAAATTTAGGGCATATGTTGCACAAAACTTTTGATAAACAAGAATATTTCATTTAATGAAATCTTACATTTTTATTTTTTGTGATGTGTCTATGATTTATTTAGAAGTAAGAAATACAGCTGAAATTCTTTCATAATTCATTTACCTTTATATACATATTGATGTAAATGTAATATTTTTATCGAATTCGTATTTAATGAAATATATATATTCCCTTTTTCATAATCTTTATTTAGAATGCAATGTTACCGAAACCAAGCAAATTTCCTTACAAAACTTAATATATTCTGCAGTGCGTAAACGTTTGTGCTGGTATTCTAAATAAAAGAAAAATCAAAGATTTTTAATCGTTTATTCCAAGTAAAATGGTTAGAAATACCAAACTTTTATTTGGAATATGCGATATAAATTATGATCTTAAAAATCAAAATGATATGCAGTAAAGGTAATCTGACATTTGTTACAGATTATCGTTGTTTTCCATTATGTATTAAATATATTAGGGGAAAATTATATCTCGATCGTTATTTTTAATATGTTATTGAAAATTAGCCAATTATTGTCATATTACATGTTTAAAGTAATTTCAGAGCTGACTTCACATTTAATTAATGCAAAATCGCTTAAAAGTAATTCATGTTAGTACTTAAAACTCTTGTCTCACTGCAAAGTTACAAAACATTAAAAAGATAATTTATTATAACCGTAATAATAATTTATCGCGAAATTAAGATATGCCATAATTGAAACTCCTATTCAGAATATATATGATCCTTAAAAGGATTACACTGTTAAATATTTCTTAACCGGTTTGTCGTAGACTCATCGTTCCATTTAAGAAATGAATCAAAGAAGGCAGACATTTTAGGCATGTGCCAGCTCAAGTTAAATGTGTATGAAATTAAGTTTACATTTTCTTACTGGTCGCATGTAGGAAAAAGTGTCATGACAGAATGTTATACGATCAAAATTATCCGAGACGCGATTAATCAAAGTTTAAAGATGCCGTATTCAGGTATTGCTAAAATCGATGTTTCCACTATGGTTGAAAATGGTTTAAATTAAAAAATCGGATATTATACAAAATTATGTTTAACTAATAGGAACATTTAAGTCTGTAATTTTTTTATTATCTCACGTAGCTAAAATGTATTAGTCTAAAAGCCCTTTTTATTTAATTTATATTTTTCTGTTTTAACCATTGTCCATTACAGTCATTCAAGAGATGTTTAGTCCTGTAACATTTTGGCTTCACTTTGCCCAAAGCAGAAATCTCTTCCTGTATTTTTTTCCTACTTAACAAATAGTATCTGCACCACATTTTATTTAACCTTTGAGAAATAATTTTAAAATACATTTCATCATTGTTATACTACTACACAAGTTCTTTATTCGATCTAGCTCTTTTAGACGATTTTGTGAATTCAGTGTGTGGTCAGCTACATGGAATTTTTTGATGAAATGTGTATTACTCATTATTTCTTTAAATTTTTGTTGACATCAGTATTCAATTTTGGTTTCCGTTCATATAATATATTCTTACGCACCTTTTGCAACCATTGTTTTATGCTATCAATACTAGCCAAAACACACTTGTGTCTATGTGGGCAAAATGTGTTCACTTTTAGCCTCCTCAGGAATTAGGAGAATGTATGAAACTTATACACATAATGTATATAACTCTCATTTTTCTGAATATATCCCTTTAAACTAGAGTAATCTTCCTAAAGAATGTTATTATGAATCAGGCTATTCATCAATTGCTAAGCTATTAATAAGCAGATACGTTCTTAAGATGACCAGATTTCTCATGGTAAACTTCTTGCGTCTTTTTTTTTTTTTTAAATGTATTGTAAATAACAGTTTATCATCTTCCCAAAAAATGTACTTTTTCACTTAATTCTGGTGAATTGAGTAAAAATAACAGAAAAAAAAGAGAAAAAAAATTGTAAAACTTTGTAAGATATTGCATAGATTAACACAGTATTTAAAAACAATAGCTTGCTTAATAACTGATAATTGTTTTCTTCTTTCAAAACTGCACAATTATTGATCCAAAGTTGTATGCTGGTTTTTAAGAGCAACCGAATTGCATCATCTGGTCACCCTAGTTGTTCTTAAAACAAAAAAAAAAAAAAAAAAAAAAAAAAAAAAAGAGTGTATTCAACATTCTACCCGTTGATTCTGTAGTCTAGTTATTTTCTAATCTTGGAAGTTTCTATATATTTTCTATGCAAGTCCATCCTGTTCAAAGTGAGAACTTTTAAAAACTTGCAAATCACATTTCCCCCCCTCCTTTCTTCAACTCTTCGAAGAATGAAAGTAAGTTTCTATATATTCACGTGCATAATAAATGTCTGTGCGCATGTGTGTGAAGATGGGAAATTTTTAAGTTATAATCTGTCAGATGTCTGTCCTTGTGTAGAGAGATAATCTCTCTTGTCTGTACATAGCAAATCTTGAAATGTGACAGACTGTCTCATTCGAACATGTGTGCGTGTCTGAATGGATGTGTCTGTGTAAAGTTTCCTTCCAACTATAAATATTGTACTACAGTAAAAGTTTTGAATTTTGTTTCTTGGTTTTCGAACTAGAAATCTATGCACTGTAGCATAACATGTATGCTAATAACACATTTTCCTGGCTAATTTTTTTACCTGCTAATTGTTAAATCCATTTCTTTCCCCTCTTTTACATCTTAGAGTATCCGATTTGATGTACAACTCAATAAGCCGATCAAATTTGAATGTCTTAATAGAAAATATTGAAAAGTCGATGAAAGATATGGAGTTGTTCTGTACTGCTGAAGTGCCAAGTGGATCTATTCCTTAGTCACCAAACTGAGAGTTGTGTTGAGTGAACAGTTACTTGTCACAAAATCTGAATTTCTCCCACTCGTAAGTCACGGTTAGAAAGCAGACTTGAAGGTACTGGGTTGTTGTGCCTTATTTATGTTTATGTGAATGATACCTCTTTATGTCATTGTCTTACTTCTGTTAAACATTCATGTTTGTACATGCTACTTCAATAATTAAAGTTAAGAAAGTTTGCAACGAATAAATTTTCCTTGCTGGAAAGTCTCGTCTCTTGTCTCATATTTATATTCATTTTATACCATCACTATACTTTTTGAGTACAGAATGATTCTTATATGACAAATTTAATACAATAAGATTTTGAACTCCCAGAAAAATAGATGAACCTGTATGTACACATCATTCATTGCATCCGGCAGTGTATATGTCAAAAAGACAGATGTAACTAAAAGCTTCTAAATATTTTCATTGTGAGGCTCAAAAGTTATCTGGATTTAAGAGAGTTTTAAATGCAATTTATTAATAGAAACTGGAATATTTCTCGGAAGTGGCGAAGGTTGGATTGTCATATAGAATAAAATGACAAGAACTCTGAGTTTATAAAACCAGTGTTGTCATAAAAAGATTCAGGTTGAACGTGACCATCATCAGTTACCATGAATCACTTTATGCGATAAACATGCAGCTGAACTCTGTCTCCAATAACGCGGGAATTCAGTTGCTGCGGCCTTAACAAACATTGCAAGAACCTTCCCTTGTAATGTTGCGGTCTTTACCTTTGATTCCTCAATGCAGTTATGCATTTCATCTAGCCTAGGAACACTCATTGGATATTTGATAACTGGTAATGCATAGCCTGCATTTATGCATGGTGTTTCTTGCTCTTTCAGGCAGATGAAAGAAATCCGTGTGTGCAAAGAAATTCTCGTATGGTGCATTTCGATAGAGGAGAGTACAGGCCGGTGGTGTTCCACAATGATAACAGAGTTTGTTTAATATAGGGCATTCACCGGGACTCTGGGATGTATATAAACATTTGTAGCAGGTGAATATTGTATGTACATCCTTTCTGATAAATTACACGCGTTCATGTCTTGCTTTTTAATATGAGTTTACCCTTTTCCTTATGCCCCTTCCCACAAATTTATAGACGCCAAATTATGGTTACAGGGATACATCTGAGTTTGGAATTTTACCACGGACACTTTCTTCAGATATCAATATTTTGGAGACTTTCTTTCTTTCCGCCACCGACGGAACAGCTGGCTTACTGGGTTACGTGCTTTTCAGCCTGGTGGAATCCGTCGATGAAATTAAAAATAAATATATATAAATAAAGAGCTCAGTACTGTGTCCTCCAGGAATTCATTGCATTTAGAGGTTAGTGCTGTGTCCTCAGAGAACTGGCCGCGCTAAACGAGGAACATTTTTCACTATTATGGTACTTGTTAGGCATACAGATATACAGGGTACGGCAGCGTTGACTTGCTTAGTACACTCACTTCCAAAAGTTAAGCACGGAGAGGAAAATGCTAATTTTCGGAAGCCAATCAGAATTGAAGAGGATGCAATTCGCTGCAGAGGTAGATGGAAGTATGCAAATATGTTAGGTAACAGCCAGTCGCACTTTCATGTCAAGAAATATGCAAAAAAGGCTGTCTTATAAGAAGCCAGCTTTATGAAGGGTTACAGAAGTTGATTGTAAATGCTGATAGAAGGTGTTTAAAACTTTCGTACAATTTGTTTTCAAGACATACGTGTTTTTATGATTTCCAGAAGACGAATGGAAAATTGAGCACTGGCGTGCTGTGGGGCGCATTGAAGCAGGACAGTCGATCACAGATGTTGCTCTTTTCTTTGGCGTTCATCCTTCTGTAATTTCACGTTTATGGAAACAATTCCAAATCACACAGACAGTTGTCCGAAAGCCCGTAGCCGGTCGCCCAAGGGTTACAGTCCCCGCGGAAGATCGATATATTGCTATTATAGCCAAGCGTAATCGCAGAGCGACCTCCACACGTGTGACATCTATGGTTACAGCGTCCATTGTTAAGGCGATATGTGCAGCTACTGTACGCCGAAGATTACATATGAGTGGACTGTACGCCCGGATACCTCGAGTTTGTGTTCCTCTATCCGTCCAATCAAGAGGGGCACGATTACAGTGGTGCCGGAAAATGTCAATTGGAATGTGTCTGAGTGGGGCAATGTCATGTTTACTGATGAGTCAAGATTTCCTCTGGAGCCAGATGACAAGCGTATAAGGCTATGGCGTGAACAACGAACACGCAACATCGTCGAACATCACGCATTCCGAGGCGGAAGCATTATGGTGTGATCAGGGATTTCATTAGAACACTGCACCGGCTTGTACATCTTTAAACAGTTCTTTGACGGCTGTCCGGTATCGATATGAAGTCCTAAAACCCATTGTGAGATTGTACGCTGCAGCAGTTGGTCCTACTTTTCTTTTAATGGACGATAACGCACGTCCTCATAGAGCTGACATCGTCGATGACTACCTGCAGAGTGAAGGGATTGCGCGTATGGCGTGGCCAGCATATTCGCCCGACCTTTATACACAATTCTGTTCAAGTCTCCAGAATGTCATTATCTGATAGCTTACAAAAATTTAATATTGTTTTCATTTCTGTATATATAATTATTGATTTTGTTTTATGCATAAATATATATCCTACTTTCCTGCCAAATTTTGTGTCAATCAAATCAGTATTTGTTTTTTTTTTTTTTTTTTAAATTTTTTTTTTTCTTTTTTTGTTCTTTATATCTTCGTGCTTAACTTTTGGGAGTGAGTGTACAATGACTTATTGCATGAATGCGCGCCAGCTCGTGCCGCATTCGTGAACTAATGAGCTGCCATTTCGAGTGTGACAGTGATATGGATCGGTGGAGTGCACAGCATCGTGCCTTTGCTGTTGAAAGTTATTTCAAGAATAACTACACTATTATTGCTACCCAGCGTCTATTTCGGCAACATTTCAACTTGGGACGTTATAGGAAAGTTCCAGATGGACGGACCATTGCGACAGACAATTCCAGGCAGAATAATGTCCCGTTTTGGTGACATTTCCTAGCCGCCTCGCTAACCTGATCTTTCATATGCAGTATTTTTCCTTTGGGGCCACCTGAAGCAAGAAGTTTTCCGAACACGTTGTGCCGCCATTCCTGAAGGATCGCATCAGAACTGCCGTCGGCAATGTCCCAGGGTATACGTTACGCCGAGTTATAGCAAGCTTCCAACGTCGCCTAGATGAATGTGTTGTGCAGAGGAGGCATCGTATTCAAAAAGTAATCCCCGCAATGGACAATGACTTACACATTAGTAAAGGGCATACCTTTAACTATTAATTGACATAAGTGATAATAAATAAATTGCAGTTACTGCCTTATGGTGTGTTTTTAATATCCTACTATGAACGCTGTATTAGACTCAAATACAGATGTAAAGATGAACAAATACATTACACATTGTGAAATACATTAAATAAGTTCTGGATTAATCATAATATTAAACATAAATTTAAAAAAACCACAAGACATTTAGTAAATTAATATATGTATACAACAAGCTGCTGACGACACGGTGTGCAAGGAAAGAAGTCACTCCAGGCTATCAGCAATGCTCTTAGCAATGGTAGTGTAGTCTCTAATGCGGCTGAGCGCATATTTATTCTTAACTGTGTTCTTGAACCATGCCGGCATATTGATTGCAGCTGGTCTTTTTAAATGTGAATTCGCTGTGTGCGGGCAATCATACCGATAGTAATGCCAATATACCTTCCAATAGTTTTGCCATTTTTTCATTAATTCACATTTTGGAGGGGTTTTCAGATACGAGTGCAGAAGGGGCACACTAATGTTACTCAGATGGGGTTCATTAGCTGCGCTTTTCGCAATCACATCAGCTGCTTCATTTTCTTTAATCCCCGTATGGGAACCGATTGAAACTTGGGCCTCAGACCTGCATGAATCGAAATTAATAGTTTTTGTATGTCTCTGACTATGGAATGTCTACTGCGGCCGCCCTGGATGGCCTTGCAAGCTTGACCTTGAGTCTGTGTAAATTACCTTATACCTTCCCATTGGTAGCAGTAAAATCCAGAGCTGCTTTTAGAGCTGTAAATTCTGTCTGAAACACTGAGTTACTGTAATGAAGCTTCTTAGCTCAGTAATGGATTATGAGGTCACCCTCCATTGGCCTACCAGGCACTGTCAGTCCTGAACTCTCCTTTGGAGCCATCAGTATAGACGGCTGAGGATTGTAATGCATGTAGATGATTACAACTCGCTTCTATATCGAAGTCTGCAGGGTGGCAAG